TTAAACGAATCTTTTTGACAACGGATGGGTCGTGTTTCTTCCTCCTTGCTCGCTCTCTCTTTCTCTCTCTCTCTCTCTCTCTCTCTCTCTCTGCCTGCCTGCCTGCCTGCCTGCCTGCCTACCTATCTATCTATCTACCTACCTACCTTTGTCCTTCGTTTTCCGCGTCTTTTTAATCGAACTTTGGTCTCTCCGTTTGACCCGAACAAATCGGCAAGATACTCGCGCTAAATATGGAACCAGCGCAGAACACTTGGATTATTTCGGGAACGGCGAGTCTTCCTGGCATTACCTAGGTAGTACGTATGTGACCGCCTACCAAATCGTATCGTTAGATAAAAGACGATGGATGGCGACCCCGGGGTATGCACGCGTTTGTTTGAGATACAAATATATCAATACTTTGAAACTCGAGATACTTATGAAACTAGAAAAAGTCGACTGTTAAATCAGTTTGCAGATTAGCAATTTGGAGTTCATTTTCACAATCCTCGTATTATTAACAGATATCTATTCTTAAACACAATGTTTAACACGTACACTACCAGCTGCACCTGTGTGTGACGCAACGAGCTCTCTCACCAGAGACTAGCGTTACTTATGTGTGACAGAAAAAAATTTCTTTTCCGTGTGACCAAAATAAGTTTTACGTAGTTACGTAAAAAGAAATTCGAGTTACGTCTGTGTGGAGAGTCCTGCGGACGAATTGTGTAAACTTGTTAAATATCTCGGTGGGAACAGTCAGGGAAGTACGCGCGTGACTGATAACCTCGAGTCAATTTTGGACAGCAGTTACACGATGTCAACGTCATATATTTTGACCGTGACGTTCCTGAGTTCGCGTTACACGCGTCACACGCGAAACACGTCAACGACCCACGTTCTCTCGTGGTTACGAATATTCGCGAATCGTCGGAATCCAGATCTTAACATTTTTTGACAGCCGCAGTTATCGCGAAAAAATTTGCACCTGCCGCCAACTCGAGACTTTAAGTCACTTGAGCCGTGTTTAAAGAAACGAACACGCTCCTTAAACATAAATACGTAAATCTATCTTTACATGATTATTATGTAATATTATAATTATATATAGTCCGTTTAATTAACTTCAAATTTACTTTAATTTCATTTCTTTGGCGCGGAATGAAGTTATGCATGTATGGCAGCGGCCGTTAAACTATCAAGACGCGAAAGCAAATAGGTAAAGATTCATGGATATCTTTTGCTGATTCTTTATTTGTTTCTTTTTTTTTTCTTTTATATTGCATATCATAGCAACAATCGAGCAGCTCGTTAAATTGGTAATGATACAAAATGCCAGCTTCTAAACTCATCGGCATACCAGAGTGTAATGACACCTGGCAGGAGTGCATTGGATGTTGGCACCGAAAAGTTCGCAACGAACTCGATTGAAAAAGACGACCTCATGATTCACTTTTTAATTGCGATGTCTTTTGAATGAATTTCGAGCTTAACGAGACGCATTTCTGAAGAGGAATGGTGTTGAAATTTATTAGAAAAATGAATAGCGAAAATAAATTTATCTGTGAGAGATCTTCGCACGAAGACAGCAAAATTGAGACGTCTCTGAGACATGTTTCATCGTCATCTTATTAGATTTAATAAAATAAAATAACAGCAAAAATGTAATACTACAGTTTCAAGACCAACGCTGCATTTGCGTTGTATTATTTGCGGCCTTCGTTGACCTGTTCCGTTGAATGTCGATCGGATGAAAGTGAATTTCAAGCGCGTAAATCCGATTCAATCATCAAACGCGCGATTTTATCGCACTGTTTGCCAACTATTGCTCGAGAATGACAGCTTGCCACTGTTGCGATGTTTTTACGTTTGACGTTTACGTCGCTTTCGAGACGACCTCTGAACATTTCGCATAAGTTTTACATAACCATTCAAATAACAAGCGCGCGACGCCACATTGTGGAAAGGGGAACCGACCTTAGTGTCTATATGATTTACGGATGTTGCAGCCGCGCGCGCGCCAGTGAAGGCTGTTTCTCTCTCTCTCTCTCTCTCTCTCTCTCTCTCTCTCTCTCTCTCTTCCCCTCCCCTTTCTGTTTCTCTCTTGGCGCGTACATGTGCATAGTATAATATAAAGTGCAATTTATGCAAGAATAACGTTTCGTACTTGCGTTAGAAATTTTACAACTCTATTTGAACGAACGCTAATATGTTTCTCTTTTCATTTTATTTTCTCTTTATGCACTCTTGCCTGATTGATGGATTCTATCTTCATCGGTGAAAGTCGACAGAAATTTCACACAGAGAGATACTAGGTCCATATTGTTCTCATCGAAAACATTGGTGAACAAAAGTTTGATAGAAAAAAGGGAAAACTATGCATTCTTTTGTATGTTGTAAGAACTGCAACTTAAAAGTAAAATATACCGTGAAATATACTTTTGACCTTTCCTTTTGACCGGCGACAATTTCTACAAGTTCGGAGATGTTGTAGAAATTGCAGTGCGATACTATGCATATCTTCTTTTTATCTGCGTATGCAACAATTATCAGCGGATATTTCCGTTTACGTGTTTTCAAAGTGTTTATGTGGCGAAAATATGTACGTAAAACTCTAATTATCTCGGCGAGTTATTTCTTTCGCGACCCTCGCGCGCTTTTTCTAACCCTTCGCAGATATCGTCGATTTATACGAAGAGCATGCCGATATTAATATCTACCGCCTAGTTGACCGCGCAAACTGATAGCGAATTCGGTAGCTCGCATTAGTGCGCGCTAAGGCTTGTTTACAATACATTCTTACATTTAAGATCGTGTCTTAAATACATATTTAAAAACATTTTAGCTAATAAAATGATTCGTATGGATATTGTACATATCATATTACTGGTTACAAATTCGAAAATTTATTGAAGACTTGACTAACATACTTGAATAACATAGTATGAACAAGCCTTAGTGCGTACTCAGTGCGCACTAGTGCAAGCAACCGAATTTCGCTATGACAGTTTCGACTGATCGACACGAGTCGATCGATACGAGTTTGATACGAGGAATCCTCCCGCGATGTCGTGCGATTCTATAATTATTATCAATATTATCCTTATCACGAAAACGTCATTTCTAGTCGATTTCATCGAGGAAGGTAGAGAGAGAGAGAGAGAGAGAGAGAAAAAGAGAGATACAAAGTATAACCGCCTGAACTTTTCGCGATAAAATATTATATCGCGGGAACGCGAATGATTAACTTCTGTTATTCTGCTGCACGCTACGCGATAATGCATCATCTCAAAAAGCTACCTTTTCTCTGACGAGAGTCCGACGAGAATGGACCACCACCCTCATCAACAGGACACGCGACGACGACATGTCACGCCTAATCTCAGCAAATCAGAACAGATCAGTCGGCTTCCCCATTGCAATTGCTGCTACCTACGACGTTACTATTTATGAACTCTCTGTAACTCTAGGTTGCATAATCCAAATCTCCATATTCCATAGCCGCTCAATGAAAAAAGGAATCCCGACCAGTCGGTCGAGTGCGTGCGTAATAAGTGAGAAAACGCGCGCGCGAAATTTTCATTTGATTTTGCAAAAGAAGAACTGAAACTAGAGACAGACCGATATACTGTGATGTAGAGTGAGGATTGAACAAATATTCATTCACGCGATCGTTAAAAAATATCCTTTCTCATGTTTTGTACGAGATTTCTATGAAACTCCCCACCCGACGAACAACCATGACCAGAGAGCTGACTAGACCCACCGCGTAGAGCGCCTCGTTGCGCCTTTTTGAGCCTGTGCAGAGACGTGCCAATTGATGTGTTATCGTTGAATATTTCGCTGCGTTGATATCACTACCATTCGAAAAAAGAAAGCCGCAGTACGATCCGCGGCGGAAACGATATATATATATATCGAGAGCGCGACGGCAAACGCGAGCCTACCACTGGCGACGTCGTTCTTCTATTTATTTAGCTGCTCAAACAACCTCTGCTCTCCGAAACGCGTCGTTTGTCCGACCACAGTCGTTACCTCTTCTCTCTCTCTCTCTCTCTCTCTCGATCCCCGTCATCTCGATTCCTTGGCGATGACACGTGCGCGACGGAGGAGCGAAAAGAAAGTACATAACTGGGAGCTAGAGCATCAGGTGGCAATTTTGGGACACAAGTGCGCGCGCGGCTTCCTCATCCTTTTTTACACACGACTGGAAACTGTAGCACTATCATCGATGCCCAAGCGCGTACTCCGTATCAGACTGAGTATTGGAGTATTGCGGATTATAAAAATTATTTACCAACTGGTTAAGTGGCACAAAGTGATTAAATTTTGGCCTCTAATCCACAACCCTTGATCTCTAATGCCTAGTCTGATGATGGGGCTTGCAAATCCTTGATGTCACGATTTAGAAGCTGAACCGCGAGCCTGTAAACTCGTGTTAGGGAGATCATTAAGGCCCAGTTGCACAACCTCCAGTTAACTTAACTGGTTGTTCCATTGGACTTGACCAATCGCATTTGACATTAAGAAGAGTTAATCAGAATTAACCAATCACTATTGGGACTTAACTGATAGTTAAAATTAAACGAATGTTGTGTCTAAGCGATATATTCTCTTCCGAGATCTATTTGTGTTTTATTTTTTAATTTGGCTTTTTGTTTGTTTTTCTTCTGTCGCACATACAGATGCTCGCCGATTCTCGCGGTTAGAAACGTTCAATCGCCTTTCGAATTTCGAAATCATTGTAACTCAAAACTTTAAGGCGAATTTAGGGTGCAGTTCACTAGATGCCGTATAGACTTCAAAATGTTTTTTACATATGAAATTAATAACATCATTATATAGCTGGAAAATTGTGCCTAATGGACACCTCACTCTTAGTAGAGAGTCAGGACAGTTGTATGGCCCGACATATTTGTCTCTACGCTCGCGATTACCTTGAAAATCACGCTTTTAATTTTAACATTTAATTTTTAATTTCCAACGTATAATTTTTTCCTTACGTTTGTTTTCTCTAGATATGCCAGTGGAAAGTGTCAATGAGGACACGAGCAGCAGGTCGGAGATGAGCTCCCCCGAAGTGCCTTCCACTTCGCATGATTTGCAAGACGCTCAGCACAACGGTGAGGCTGCTGCAGCGAATGCCGCGAACGGCACCACGCGTAAACGTCGCGGCAACCTTCCGAAAACTTCGGTGAAGATCCTGAAGCGTTGGCTGTACGATCATCGGTTCAACGCTTATCCGAATGAGACTGAAAAACACCTCCTCTGCGAGCAAGCCAGTCTCACTATGCTGCAGGTCAGTGCGCGCGCGCGCGCGTTTAAATATTTTTCTTTCACTGAGGAATCAATAATCGATACCTATTCACGATATCGACTGGTATGATACATTAATTTCACGTGTCGAGAAGTTGGAGGAAGAGATGAGAAGAAGATCGACTATTTCTCTGTTAAGACTCCTAGTACTTCGCCGCGATCATTTTGATTTATGATGTCAGAAATAAGAAAGTATATGTTAGAAATTCTTATGATGTGTGTTTTGTGCATATTTTTTCTCGCTTTTTACGTTTATTAATATGCCACGATACAGCGAGATATTCACAATGTCGTTTCGCAATTTTGGTTTGTAGGTATGCAATTGGTTTATCAATGCTCGACGTCGGATCTTACCAGAGCTCCTACTCAAAGATGGGGAGGATCCTCATCAGTATACTATATCACGTCGCAAAAAGGCCGGACAACAACAGGCTAACTCAAGACGAAATGTCGCTTCCTATAAGAACAATACACAGAATCGGCGCGTCGATCACGACTACGAGGACGCGGGTAGTTTGATATATCGGTAAGCATCCATTACGAACGCACTATTATATACATATACTATAAGAAACATTAGAAATTTAGACAACGAAGAAATTATTTAGATAGAGAGAAAAAGAAGTAATAATTAGATGTGTCACGATGGATAATCTGAAAGCGATCAATATATCTTTAATTTATTTAGCCAAAAAATTGCTTCTACTAAATAGTACGATCAGTTACGTTTATTTGTCAAATTGAGAAAATCAAGATTAATGAAGGTAGGATTATTAAATATCCACAATGCGCTAAATGGAAAATAGGGGGAGAGAAGTTCTAAATTATCATCCCACATACACACACACACACACACACACACACGTGCACGCGTGCGCGTGCGTGCGCACGCACATATACACCCTCCAGACCAATATAAGGTTTTATAATCTCTCTCAGATCACAAATACTTTTCCTCATTACCAAAATTTCCAATGCTAGTATAGTCTATCGGACAGCACCTGACGATCGACGATTGGTCTATGTAACGCGTGGCTCTCTTATATAGAGAGATAGCGATGCTCAGCGTTGCTGGCAAAGCTGACTCAGTTTAGCTGACCGCGTCTCGATTAACGATTGATTGCTTAAAATCTTTGGTTCTGTTCGTTCTTTGCGTTCTTTAGGACGTTGCATCTTCGCATTAGGTTTGTTGATCACAAAGTTTTTCATTTATATAATAACAGAATCTTTGTAAAAATTTTGCAAGATTGCATAAATTATTTGTAAATTCAATTATAATATATTTTTTTGTCCTTTCTTGAGTTTAAACTCAAATAGATAACGCACATAGCCTATGGATTTACAAATGGAGTGTCAATATAATGAATTAAGTATAATGTTAAAGAAAAAATTAGTTTAGCGTGCAACTATTCAACTTTTCGGTTCGCCTTTACTGCCATGTACCGCCTTTGCTACATTGAAAACAAAGAAATGGTTGTTCCAACAAAAAAATAGTAGTGACAATATGCATACGGTTATTAACGCTACAATAGTAGTTGCATTTTAAAAAGGTTTTTCGAATAATTATTTCATTGTGTAATCAAAGTTACAAGTATTAAATATTTTTTCTCAGTCTATCCACTTATTAATACTAGCACGTTGATTCCCATAAATCAAAACTCATGTGAAGCTTGATTAGTCAGATAAATACATGCATTTCCGGATGCATATATTCGTTAGCCAGTTGGTCATTCTTGTTTTATATAGTAAATAGATAGTTGAATCTTGGCAGCTCATGTACACGATATATTGGCAATTTGTTTATATATGATATGTTTATAGAAGTGAAGAGGACAGTCCCAATGACTACGAAAGCACTAGTTCTCACAGTGAGGAGGAACGTCCCACTACACAGTGGCCCAACGTTATCGTGTGCCGTTATACCGAAAGTAAAACCACACGAGACATCCATTTTGATACGGATACTCTTTCGCATCAACAAAGCTCTAAGTAAATTGCCAAGAATTATTTTTTGCTGTTTTCATCAAAGATTTAGGTTTACAATAGAATACAGGTTTAGATTTTACAATAATTAAAACGTGATTTTACTTTTCACAGTGATAAAACTGAAACAGGCGACGAGGCCGCGTACTGGAGCGCCCCACGGCAACATTCATCACCACGAGTGATGCCAAACGTCATTACAGTTCCGGAAGTCACGATGCCGGAGGCCAACATCGCGATGCCCACAGAGGAATCCCGGGTTGCACGACTACGGGATGACGAGATAAATGAACTGAACGGTCTCCTCAAAACATATGACAGAAATATGCATGGGATATACTTATTAGCATTCGCGGCTTCAAAATGCTCTGACATACAAAATCGCGATAAACGCTCTGACATACAAACATCGCCAAGAGGGGGGAACGGAGAGAGATTTAAAGACCAACAGCAGGAATAACGTTCCCTTCTACATTCTGACTTCGTTTGTCGTTGTCACCGGCATACATTCGTTTGTTAAACGACACTTGTTTTCTTCTATAAATTTTTCGATGCAGGTAATGTTCAATAAAAACCTGTAACTATTCGCAAAAGTTTTTCTCATAAACATTTAAAATGTTTAAAGTATCTATTTTGGAAACAAACGTATACCACCAGCGACAATGACAACGTTCTCTATATTATTAATCGTTTAAGCAATGATTTTGTTTAGGAACAATCCGACAAATCATTCGTGATCATAAAATATGTTTATGTAAATCAAGTTTTCCCGCTCAGTTCTTGTTTTTTCTTTTATTGACATAATGAGATCGTCACATTTATGTCATCGCGACTTGGCGTGTCCAAATGACAAAGTCAACGCCGAAAGAAATGAGGAACTATAATAAATAACAACGTTTGCATAGGATATATCAGTAACTGGACCACTTTAATTGTTCGAGAATCTACGTTCAATATGGTGATCCAAATTGATACATATATTTACCTATAGGATCTTGTCGCGACAAATGAAAGTAACATATCTGTTTTTATCGATTCTCATCTCGAGAGATTTTAAATGTTATTTTACGTTCATAAATGCCGTAAGTTTATGATATGATAGTTACAAAAAAATGTGTAATGTACGAGCAGCAAATGGGGGAAAGGTGAGAAGCAAATTAAACGAGACGGAAGCTATGCCATGCCCGTTGACGTGCGGCTTCTTTCCTCACTTCTTGTAACGACTGCTAAAAAAAACAATCGAATCGAGCGAAAAAGCGTCATCTTGCGCGACAATATTTCTTCCAAGATCATTCAAGGCATCATCGAGATCCGTGACGACGACTTTGGTTACAATTTTAAGTATATTTACCGAATGATTGATCACATAAGTGT